TTTAGCGTAGCTGTTTATATATGAGCGGTCGGTACGGTTGCATAAATCAACGCACACACGCTCAGACGGCGGCCATTTTCTTGCGCTTGGGCAGCGGATGGCACGTGCGGGCTATTTTCAGCGCGCTACGCTCCCGCCCTAAAGCTAACAGTGAATATTCAGATATGGTTTTAAGAGTTTCGATTATTCGTAATTATATTATCCTTTCATAATTGTAAATGAAAAAATAAATCTTCTTAGCATACCGTATAAGCATTATTTTAAGAAAAGGATTTCATTATATATACCAGAAAATAATGTATAAATATAGTCAGGTATATATTTAAAAAAAATATCGCTTATCGCCACGTAGAAATTACATATTGCGAGATAATTGTTATGCTAATAAAAAATGGTATTGTTATGTTTGTAATAAAAAAATTGTAGGTAAAATTTCAAAAGTGTTCAACAACGGTTTAATAACATAACATGTAACTTAGGAGTCTCTTTTTATTTATTTATACGTTGGTATATGAACACTATGTTATATGAATAGATATTTTAAATTGATTTACAATGTACAAAATTGGACCTAATGTAGTATAACTTATTGTAAGTTATACTGTAGAACTCTAGTATAATCACAAATTACGCGAGTACATTAAAACGTCAAACATTAATAAAACGCGTAGTTCCTACTAAACGCCGATTTATGTAAATACTTCGTGTTAAAACTCGTATAGGTTTTATTTTAATTGAGTTCTTGTTCAAGTACTCTTTTGGAACTCGATATATTAAAGATATTAATGTCTTTTCAAGTAGCATCTGTCCATTACTCTATGTTCCTGGTCGTCGCCTCCGGTCTACATTCCCGATTTTGATGGTGGTCGTTAATGAGCCGTTTACTGTGACGAGAGATTAGGCTGCACCTACCGTTAATTACCATCACGATTTTCTACGGTATAATAACGCTATTTTAGTCAGTGGAAATAATGCTTAGAACTTACTGACTATGAAACGCGAAAAAAGATTACAAAAACCACTTCAAGATCATTGTAAACATGGTAACACTGGTTGCTATGTTTTATAAATTAAATTAAATCCATTTTTAAATCGTTTATTAAAATTTTATTAGTTACCTAAACAACTTAGTCGCGTTGTTAGAACAAAATATTGTTACGCGTTTAAGAAAACAATATATCGTATTTATTATTATATATTATTATATTTAAGACTAAAAACTTTCGTAGAATCAAAGAAGTTTTTAGTTCAGAAAGTGCACTCGTGTATTCTAACAATAAAGCAACAGACTAGCAAATCACCATTGAAATGCACTGAATAGAAACTGAACTATCAAAGTCTGTCACAGAGGGGAAGAGCTGACAAACAAGTTGTACGCCCGAAGCAGTACTTGAATAAGTAATAAATGCTACGAAGGAAAATCGAAGTGTATAACAATGCAATGAAATCACACTAAGGAATAATTTTGAATAGACTTACGAAAATTGCTTAGAATTTCTTGGTGAAGTGTTTTCTTTTATTAGTAAATAAAAGATTTCATAATACCTGATGACATTGTCACCAACTTATAAAGAAATTAGTTTTTGATATTAAGGGAAATGAAAAACGGTGCGTTCTGTTTTATTCTGGTTGGTCAAGAGTCCTAGTCCAGCACGCGCGACACGATGCTTCATGATATTTCGTCTATGTGTCCAATTATTTGTCACCCCCCTGCTCCTATGGACATTCAGTCACATTTGATTACATCAGCAGTTGATCAGATTCTGAGGACACATATCTTTAAACCTTCCGGGATTCCCGGGGCCCTTTTTTAAATCCCCCAACCATTCCTTAATCCCCCCAAAAGGCCCCCTTATAAACCTTTTTTCCCCAACAAAAGATTTTTTGTATTGTGGGTTTTTAGGAAATTTTTTAAAAAAAAGGCCCCCCCCCCCCGGGTTTTGGGGTGGGGCTCCCCCCACAACACCAAATAAATTTATAAAAAGAATTCCGCCAAGAAAAAAACGGGGAAAGAGCCCCCAAAAACCCCCCAAAAGCGGCCGCTTTTTTCCAATCCCCCAATTTTTTTTTTTTTTAAAAGGGCCCCCCCCCCCCCCCCCCAAAAACACCCCCGGGGCGGGCCCCCCCCCCCCCCCCCCCAAAACCCCCCCAACCCCAAAAAAAAAAACCCCCAAAACCTAACGTAAAAACGCCGGTATAAAGTTCAGGTCTTCCAGTGAATAAAATTATTGTTAATAATTAGTTTATTTTTTCGGTTCTTAGACTGTACAGTGACATTATAAATCACATAACGAATAGACGTTCAGATGTTGGCTTATGTCCAAGGATCGCTTCGTCGCGTAGCCAACGCCGGTAGCAACATTTTAACATTTAATAAAATAATATCAAAATAATGCGTGGGTTTTAGACTTTATATAAGTTTGTATTTATTTGTTTGTTTTAGTTTGTGTATATTATACATATTATTCACTAATACTCCTAATGTTTTCGCTTTAATTCCTATTTCCCAGAGAACCATGGATAATAATCATACAAAAATATAAACTATGGATAAAAAGCTATCTTATTTATTATACAGTATTTTTTTGGGTGTTGTATGTATTTTGTTAAATATGTATTTCTATACATATCTCACAATAAAGCTGTAAATACAATACAAATTTTTATTTTACAATCGCTTTGTTGTGCGTATCAAAAAGCAAAATTGTCCACAAAAGATCTTATATATCCTTCAATCAAGACAAATGTTACCATATATCTCACGGAAACCCTACCAGTGAGCTTGCCAAAATAGCTTCTTAGTACGCTTGACAATAATGGTGTTCACAAAAATGTTTATGGTGAATAAACGCTTTTTTAATACCCATAATTTCCCCCACATATATGACACTTATGAATATAGATTTAGAACTCTCTAGAACTTACACACGCTTTTCGAGTATGTACGCCAAGAACTAGGAGTAAAATACTACCTTTGTTCGCCTTTAACAGGGCAACAGTTATAAACATATACCAACCATTTAAATAAAACTTCATTTACGTGGTCAGCGGTTATTGCACTTGAATCGACGAGTTATTCAGATTTATACTAATAATATAAAGAGGACAGTTTTAAATGTTTGTAACGATACTCAAAAATTACTGGATTAAAAAATGTTTCACCTACACGCTATATTATGCCTGAGTTTCATTTATTTCCATTATAATACTATTTGAAATAATTGTTAGCGCAGAATAGGCTGCTAGTAAATTTATTAAATGGATATTCGCGTTAACTAATATTCATTATTTATTAATTAAAGACTAAAAAATGCAATATTTTTTACCTGTAAAACATTAAATGTTTTCGTCGACATTTTGATATAGTGCTTTAAGAATGTATTATTGCACAATGTACTTCTGTTTATTGCTAAGTATAACTGCGAACTGTTAAATGAAAGGATTATTAAAGTTACTTGTGTTAAAAAAGAATGATAGTATGTTAGTGACACTACATTTTGTTTTATAAAAATGCTTCTTCTAAAATTTTAAATAAACGAATGAATCAATTAAAAAAAAGTTGGCCTTAACAAAAAGTCCATACAAATTATTACATACTAGCCTTAAGAGAAAAACCCCTAAGAAGATTTATTCTAGAGAAAACAAATGAAACTGGATCCTTTAAAATATCCTATTATTTATAGTAAAATAAACAACAATTTGTTTCGTCTTAGAAACATTCACATTAACGCGTATAAAAACCAATTACCTTCTTACAATTTATTTTTCTTATTTAAAACATTTATCGTAGAAGCATTTAATTATTTTTAACAGCTTAGAGAGATACTTATCGCTGCGACATTTTTTTAATTTAATAAATACAAAATAAGTTGATATAATAAAACTTATTGCGACATGTACTTATGTGAATATAGTTGAATCACGGGTTAAGACGCGTAAACTCAATCTTTGCATCAAGTTTTAATCAAATCAAAATCATTTAACACAATGTACACTTATGAACGTCAAAAAGAAATACATATTAAGAATTATAAATTTACTGCCAGTTCCTAAATCAAGGGCGTAGAACGGAAGAGAAGAACTGGCAATAAACTCTCCGCCACTCTTTTTATTTATATACAACAACGACTATAATAAAAATAATTTCAACCGGTAATTCTTTACTAGAATCTAATGAAGATACGCTTCAGTTTAATGCACTTAGTGTAGATTGTTTAATAACATGCAGTAGGCCTAAAGGTGCGCCGCTCCTAGTGCGACTCTCAATTATGAGGTCGTGTTTGTTATTTTATTTCTATGTCCGCATTTAAAACTTACACGTACGATGAAATGGTGACGAAACCTGGGCTCGGCTGATCCTGCCTATTAAGTAATAAATGATCAACAGATTAAGAGATTAGGCTAAGACTAAGGGTGGGATTGGTTTTTTTTGTTGTTGTGTAACGGCAGTAGGCGTGTAATTTATATGCGTGATTTCCTTTAGAAAATTGGTTCTTACAAAGCTCAATGTCCGAACGAAGGACCCAGAGTACCCCTTTGAATTGCCGCTTCAACACATTTAAGCGGGTCAAAGGAATTCAGCTAAGCCTAAAAATTTTAAGCCACCGATTTCCCAATTAGTTCACGCGTTTTTACGATACTTGCGGATGATTTTTATAAGTAGATAACTATTTTATAACTTTTTGATGGCCAAATATTTTTTAAAGACAATTTATTTTTTAGGTCACAGCTTTGTGTGTCCCGTTTCACCTGTGCTGCTTAAATAACTTCGGACAATATGTGTCAGACTTTAAAAAAAAATTAATAGTAAGGTTAAATATCAGATCAAATAATAATAAACATATCGGAGCACCTTACTTTAAAAGGGCAGAATCGTAATAAACCATATCTTTTATTTATTAGAAGTTCCTTCTGCTCATAGTAAATAGAAGTATAACGTGAATATTTAGTTATATTAATTAGTTTAAAGCAGCATAGAATGTCCACATTCAATACTATTATCACCAAAACCCCATTGCTTCGACAAGGGGCAATCGTTCAATAAGTTTGGCAGTTGGTGTTGCGTCGTCACCGTTCTGGCGTGCTGAATGGATGGCGTCATGATCAGCAACAGACAGCGTCTCGAGAGCAGCACTAATTTTACCATCTGGCTGGCTGCGTACGCCACTAAGTATAGCAGCCCGAAGATAGCCCGGTCCACGACCCATCGTGCATAAACTTTTCACAATTAGACTATTATTTTTGGTAGCAAAGTCAGTCGGTCGATTATTAATAGAGGCTTTTCCGAGTTTATATTCGTTACGTGTGTTGTGGTGTTAACTTTTAGTGAATTATACATAGACGCTTATAAATAGGATGTGCTGCGTCTGACGGACGGGGGAACACCTTCCTGAAATATCGTAGTACGCCAGTGGTTTGCGTGTTTTCCGACGTATTGGTAAATGATTATTTATACATTGAAAGCACTGAATTGCGTCGTGCAAGGTGGCGCTACGAGTTTAGCCGTTGGACGCGCTCGTAGGCGCCATTGCAATGCTACGGCGCGCAGATCTAGAGAATATTAGTTTTTTGTAAATAGGTATAGCGAAATTTCAGAGTTGATCTCAAAGTTTTTTTCATTTATACATAATTACTGTTACGAAAGAGGAAACTATAGTCAATTTATTTATTTAGTGTTATAATAATTCTTTTCAAATTAATTCTTTATTTAAAAGAGTCTTTAAATATTATTTTATTGATAAAAGCTATTCAACGCTCGGCACACTGATACATTGGTATAAGAACCACAATATACATGTGACAAGCACTTATAGGCAAACATGACATCTACGAAGAGATAATAAAAATATTAAACAAAACACTTTACATTACAAAAAATAAACGATATATCGATAGTACTCGTATATAGAACATTTAAAGAATCCTTTAAATAAATAATAGTTTAAAACTGCATATAAATTAATTAAAATAAAGTACAATTTTATTGTACCAGTAATTAAGTATTATCGGTAAAAATAAAATACTTTGAGATCAACTATGAAATTTTGCTTTTGTCTTTAAATAATATAAACTGACTTCATATAATAAAACGATAGAAATGCCACAGTATTAAGATAAAAAAAGTTTATTAGTAAAGTTGAAAACTGCCCTCTGAAGTTTCCGAACCAATTCGACTTAGGGTCCTTCAAGGCGTACCATTTCTTAAAAGACCAGCAACGCAATTGCGAGCCTTCTGCAATGTGAGTGTCCATAGGCTATCTCTTACCATCAGATGAGCCTACTGCCCATTTGCCTTTACATAAAAAATCCCTAAAAAATATTCAAAATAAAATAAATAAATATAAATAGCTAAAATCATTATGCAAATTTTCAGTCTACATGAGATAACCATTAAAATCATATAACATCCAACGAATAAATGCAGATGAAATACGAACTCATTTATAAACCATCAAGCTTATGAGAGGCGTCAGAACCACTATGACATGAGAAGTGCATTGAGAGGGAGGGCCCTCCCAGGGAGGCAGACGGAGATATTTTCGTCTGGTCATGTCAATTTGAATTAGCAACTACAGGTAGCGATAATGGTCGTATCTATTGTGTGGGTCAGGTATATATTTGTATTAACATTATTGTTATGTAGACTACTGGGTATCTGGTATAGAAATCAGTGGGATTTTGATCGCCATTATATCGTTTATAAATAATAAATTAGGGTTTTTATCTTATTAAGTAGAAAACAAAAGATCTTTCAATTGTGTGTTCATTGTGTGTGTATTGCGATTTGAATTAGTCAATTAGTGTTAGTGTACGTTAGTCTTTAGTGCTAAACAGTGGTAAGTGTAAAAATAGAACACAAGAAGTGTTTTCCCCTTAACAGAGACTGTAAGTAGTGTTATTGGACACTATCTTATGTTAAATATTCTTATTAGTGGAGGCTCTTAGTGAAGTCACATTTCTAGTTATTCAGGGGTAACTCTAGATTCCGATTTACATATATTTAAATGATTGTTCAGGGTAATTCATGAATCTTAACATTTTAACAAAGTTTTTCTCCAAAGTACTCAAAATAGATAAATATTAAAACAATAGTCTTTAAAGTAATTAGACACCAAAGAAAAGAATCATGTTCTGTAACGGTGTTTAAAAAAAATGAGACAAATTGTGACAGGAAGCGCGCCCAGCCGGTGGGCAGAAAAAAGTCGGTCGTTGACCCGCCGCTTTACCGTGTGTTACCCTAATTGCATCCGTTTCGAATTTTGAATTCAAACTGAAAGTTCATTTCTTTGATATTATCTGTAATTTATTATGGAAATTTGTTGTTTATTTAACAAAAAGAATGCCTATTTCTATGACAGTTATGGTACGTGACTTTATAGATCGTGAATTTTAGTTTTTCTTATATTTCTTACTTTATGTTGCTTTCAGGATGTGTTCTAATTTCCTGAATAATGGAGACTAATGAAATTCAATAATAAAAACTATATAAGATAGTTTCGTTAACTTATATCTGTATAAATATGTTTATACGTAATAAAACTAATAGTATTTATACACCCGGTGACAGATTGAAACACACGTGAAATCCATTTTCACGGGGAGTGTATTAAACAATAATTAACCCTCCCCTGACATTACTGCGCCTGCGCAGATGTTCAGTTAGCACTGGGGATTTTTTCAGAGACGTTTCATAGCGTGTTCTCACACCTGTGTTCAACAAAGATATAATTTGAAATCCATTTATTTCTTACTATTGTACATCATGTATATAGGAATTAATAAGCAACTGCCCACGATGACCTGTGTAGCGGCATATAGTACTAGATATTTAAATAAAATTCAGCTTTTCAGATTTTTTAGTAACCTTGTCATTAATCAATATTAAATAAACGCACTATTAATCTAAATTTAAATAAAGGTTATATTTTGTGAAAACGATTCAACTATAAAAACTGTTATTCTTAGCCTATTTTCGATATTAACTCCAAATTTAGACTCAACTTTCTATCAAAATTTTGTTTCCTACCCTTTTTACATATATCAGAACTTCAGAGCTTTGACTACGCAGCTTATAAATGATTAAAATAATAACAAGTCATAAGCATAAACCGTTTACAAACCAAGTTATTATTCAGTTAATAATAGACCACGCAAACATTAGCTAATTATACATTGTTTTGTTCAGGCATAACTGAAATTAATTTTCAATCTAGGCAAGGTTGGTTCAGGCGATTTCCTAATAGATGATAAGGTAAGTATTGCCATATATTTATTTTGATTTAAAAATAAATTAACATATTATACTATAATAATATATCATTATACACATTTTATTATTACCTCATAGTAAGATAGCCAGGAAACGATTATATACTACGTAATGACGAACGAATTGCATTAATTAATTGACAGTTATTAACATTTTTTTGTGATTAATTATAAAAAAAATTCAATTCACAAATATGTTCAGTGGCTAGCGCTACAAGATTTTTAGGTTGGGCTTCAGATTTCTTTATCTGTTTCATGCTCATTCTAATGGATGACCATCTGTGCCTGACATACGCCGTCGACTTTTTGGGTCTAAGGTAAGCCAACGCGAATGTTAAATGCGCACATAGATATAAATAACATGAGTGCACAGCCGGGGCTCCGAACCGACGGGATCAGCGATGGGAGTCGTACGTTTATGCCACTACAAAACTACTTTTTTTTATTCTCAAATTCAATGTTAAAAACTGTCCACTTTAATAGGACTAAACCTACCAACCTCTAAAGACTTAGGTATTAAATGTATTGCCTCATGTCTGAAAATACTGTCTCCAACCCAAAGTGTTATTTGACACGAGAAACCCTGCTCTTTTGCACCATTTCCCGCATTCAATCGCAAGTCGTCTTTCTCTTCGTCAGTCCAGCGGCACAATGAAGAAAATAAAGGCAAAACTTTCTTTATCTATTAATATTATTTGTCTATACTTACAGCCATATACGTTCTATTTAATATTGCTTTTAAATGCTTCTTTATAAATCTTGTGTTTCTCTAAATAAACGTAGCAAAGAATACACCATAGAACCATATCAATAAAATTCAAAGCATAACCTGATTTTTAGCTCGTTACAAAAGTATAAATTTGAATTAAGAATGTCAACGGAAACCCTCTCCCGTCACATGAGTTCCCCTCTTCCTAAGTTTCAGCCGTTTCCGGCAAGACACCTGCGCTTGCGCAGAGTTATGGCTTTTTAATATTCTTCAACAGTTTACTATTATGATGTTTTACGGTTTTCAGCATCCTATTTATTATTCCTTTTTTGTGGTATAATCGATTTTAATGGCGCCTACGTTTTTATGAGTTATTTATAAGTAGGTATTGGCATTTTTGAACATTACGACCGTACTTCATGTCTATATAGTAGATTATCGATAATTCTTGATACCAATTAAAAACTAGTCTACTATGACTATCTAACAATAGTAACCTCAACTAAACTGCTATAATAAATCGTTTATCGTATCATAATATGACTCTAATTGACGTGCATAGTTTTTTTCACATTCTCTAACAAAAATATTATAAAGATATATCTTTATCTCCGGTATTAAGTTTTAAATCACATCAATTATTAATTAATTTTAAATAATCAAATCTATTGGAATAAATACTACACAGCTGATCATGAACATCCACCATATTGTCTGTCAATAGCTTCCGAGGTTGTTTGAGATTTGTTTAAAACTCTCTCAACGCTGAATTCGGTTTATCGGTGAAAAATATTTAAATACTGTTTAAATATTATAATTGTCATTTTTGCTTTACAATTGCTTACAACAGTTTTTAATACAGACATTTATTATTTCTTATAATTTAGACGCTTTGAGTTCTATAATTTTAAAACTATCGCTCACTTTTTCTACTGATTTTAATTCTAAAGACTCTCAAGCAAATGCAATCTTTAAATAGAATTTAATTTAAACACAGCTTTTAACCTATTAGAAAGTTCTCATAATACCTACCCACTTTGAAGATATTTAACTAGAATAAAATACAAATTAACTAAACATTTTCTATTCTCGTTTCATTTAAAGTATCCGCCTTAATGGGCAAATAATACGTAATCTATTTCAGGATATTTTCTTTAGGGACAAATAAATAAAATAAAAATAAATTGGTGGCGCTACAACCTGTTTAGCTCCGGGCCTCAGATTCCTGTA